TTCATCCCCCCTCCCCCTTCTCTCGCTCCCCATTCCTCTCCTGTCAAGTCCAAGCTCCCGATCTCAGTCTGCCAGACGCTGGGGGACCCGTTGTTTCTTCTTGGCTCCCCAAGTTCACGTGCTCGGGTAGGAGCAGCAGCTCCAGGACCTGAGGCCTCTTTGCTTCCTGGGCTGCCGCACAGGCCCGGGCCCTTCCCACCACCTGTTTGCCATTTTCCTTTCCCCTGTCTGTCACTTCCGGACATGCCTGGGCTCTAGGCTTATTTTTGGCCTCGTCTCCTACCAGTTCCTTGGCATCAACGTCCATCACACCTTCTTTCTCAGGGACCACATGGAGGGCGTGGCTAGAGGCACATGGCACTTGCCGGGGATGGGAGGTGGTCTCTGTTGGCTCCTCTTAGGTGATGTCTGGTGTGCTGATCTCTGCCCAGCCGAGTGCGCTTTGTCACTGATGGCGAACTTTTATCCCCCTTCTCTCCTCTTTTCACCATCTCCTGGATGTGGAACGTCCCATGATGTGGTCCAGGTACAGGATGCATCACGGATCCTGGAAGAGGTGAGGTGGACCCTCGTGGCTGTGGCGGTTGCTGGGGGGTGGAGGGGTGGGCAGAGACAGAGGGGACGTCAAGGCCATCTTCCGGACATGTGCCCTGGAGCCTTCATTCCCCTCACTCTTTGTGGATCCAGGGCTGCCTGGGGTGAGTCCTGGAATGATTCTGGCCTCAGAGGACTGGCTGTCCTGTTGAAGGTCAGATTCATCTAGATCTCATGGTTGGCAGTACGCAGTCTCATCTGGCCGAGGACCAGGTGGCATGTTTTCAAGAAGAAAATGTTCGTAAGAGGCCAGAGTAGGCAAGGAAGCCTTTCTGGTGGAAGTGGCATCAGCCAGGCATTGTTGCAGGAAGAAGGTGGGAAACCTGCCCAAGGGGACAAGCACCAGTTTAGGGCCTGAATGGTTCGGGGCCTGGATGGCTGAGGGGCTAGGTGGGTTGGGGACTCCTGGTTCTAGAAGAAGTTTAGGGTTTGTCCTTTGCCATGGGGATGATGAGGAGTGCATTCCCTATGGCTTCCTGCACATCTGGGAGCGGGTCCTCATGAATGAGTCGGGCAGAGGCCTGGGCGGAGAGGCAGGAAGGAGAGCCCTGGTCAGATGGGGGTTGGGCAGAAGGCAGCTACTTCCTGCCGTCAGGGAATCCCCAGGCAGGGAGCGAACACCATTTGACATTTGCAGTGCAATTTGGACTTGAAGTGCAGGGTCAGGATGTGGGATCTGCAGGCCCCGCGCCCCTTACCTCACTTCCTTTTGCTCCCAGACCGAGGTGGGGTCCGCCAAATGAGCTGGCCGTAATTGCGCCTGACAGGCAGCCTCCTGCTCTTGGCTGCAGTTGGAAAGACTGCCGATTTGGAAAGGGGAGCAGAGTCCTGTCCAGGGAAGCAGCACGGAGCCCTCTCTCAATTGAGAGCATTCTGTGGCCAAAACCCACAGCCTGCTCCAAAGAAGACCCAGCCCAGGGATGCGTTATTAAAAAAAAGTTAAAATCCTTAATAACTAACTGGATCTGTAATATATAACAGTGAAGGCTCAGATTCTGAGAGCGAGGATCAGGCTGTGGTCTCCTCGTCAGGAAGCAAAGCCAGATTTGCAGCTTTTGGGCCAGACCCCAAAGAGGGCCAAGTGTCCTGCTGCCGGGCCGGCCCCAGAGCGAGGTGGGGTGTGGGTCACCAGGGCCAGGCGAGAGCAAGTCCTGTGGAGTGTAGAGTGGGGGGTGGGGGGCAGGGAGCACAGGGCTGGGCTAGCCATCAGGTTCAGAGGATCTGAGGCCCCTGAGGATAAATGGAGTAACAACTCACCCAGGGAACCACCCCAAAAGATGACCTGGTGACCCCCTCATCCCCAGGGCCCGTAGCTCATCCACTTCCCCTGCTCTCGAAGGCTAAGCCTCATGCCAAGTCCCGAGTCCTGTTTGGTTTTAAGAATCCTTTGGTACTGGGTGGAGGCAGGGGTCCTGCTGCCGCCGCTGGTTCTGCGGGAAGCTTTGTGACTGTGCAGGGTTTTTCTGTCTTTGCATGAGCTCAGCTCTTGCCTTGTATCCCCTGTTCAGTCCCATCTAGGTACCAGCCTGATCCCTGTGAGGATCGCTCCAGGAGCCCGCGGGGCCGTGATAAGCCAGGCCAGGAGCTTAGATTCTTAGAGCAGAGAGGGCAGATGGGTGGTTAGCAAGTTGTCTGGCTGGAGGGGGTGTAGGTTGGCAAACAAGGGGCAGGAGGGGAGACCAGCTAGGAGGCTTCGGTGACTGTAGGATGGTTTAAGGATGGCCTCTCCAGTGGGGAGTGCCTTTGGGCCAGCGCAGCCCAAGGCTGCGTGGGAGACAGTGTCTGTGAATGAGCTGAAATGCCATCTGTCTGCGCTGAGGGCTCCCAGAGCAGATGGAGGACAGTGGGGGTGGCTTCCTGGAAGAGGTGACACCGAGCTTGCTTCTGAAGCACAGATTGACAGGTGGGGGCGGGAGTGCAGGTGTCAATGCTTTGGGCTGGAGGCTGTCATCACTGGGGGCCAGTTTGTTGGGTGAGATTTCTCTCTCCCCAGGCTTTACGCCCATCCAGAGGGTCTCTTTCCGGGGCTCTTGGCAGGGAAGGAGAACTGTGGCATCCTGCGGTTGAGACTTGGGTGACGCCTGGGAGGCCTGGGTCGTTGCAGAGAGCATGGGTGGAGGAGGGCATCTCTCCTGGCTCCCCAGCCTGTCTCTGTGTCGCTGGCTGTTTCCCCTCTTCTGAGCCCTGCTCGCCTTCCCCTCTTCCCGCTCTCCCTTCGAGTTTCCCTCTGCCTCCGTTTGCTCCTTGGCCCTGGCTCCCTCTCTCCCTCCTTCTCCCGCCTCTTCTGAGCCCTCTGTCTCGTTTCTTTTCCTTTTTGTCTGGAGAACAAAGGCAGTCCGTGCTGCCAAGGGGAATGAGTTCAAAGAAACTGCAATTTTAGATTTCCTGAGAACTGGAGAGTGTGCACATGCACGTTGGAGTGTGTGCGAGTGTGTACACTCGCATGAACACACACACACACACACACACACACACACGTGCACGCACACGCGGCAGGAGAGGGGCTGGCTGACTCCTTCCTAACTGGGGCTGGGATGTGGCATGTGCTGAGGAAGACCCACCTGGGGGCCTGAGGCAGGAGCTGGGGCTGAGGTCCTGACCACTGAAGGGGGTGTGGTGGGACTGGTGCCCTTGGCTCTGCTTCTGCCCTGCTCCGTGGAGGGGTTGCCCTGGTAGGAGGACCGCATGCTCTGTGGCTGTTTTCAGGAGGCTCAGGGTCCAACCAGATGTTACTCCCTCAGCCCTTCCAAATCCAGGCGATGGGGTATGGCGAGGTCCTCTCCTGCACCCCCAAATCCACTAGAAGGAAAACTTTGGTATTTTGCAATCAAGAAAATAAACCCAGTGGTCCCCCATCCCCCATCCGCCCCCCCAAGGCCTTAATTTAAAACACTGTTTTTCCTCCCAAGTGTAATTAGAGCAACATGTTGTTCCTAACGAGCTGGGTGGGGCAGGCAGACAATGGAGCCCTCCCAGCCGCCTGGCTGCCCCTGCCTGGAGCTCCCTGAGGAACCAGGATCTGAATGTCTACAGGTCCCCTGACAGTACCCCGTTGGGTGAGGTGGGAGTCTATGGGCTACTGGTGGTGGGACTGACCTAGGTGGCTGGGTGGGCTTGCCAACATGTCCCCCGGCCCTAGGAATGAGGGTCTGTCTAGTGTGGTGGCTCCTAGGACGGGGGGAGGAAGTCCCCCTGTTGGTTCAGGGCCTGGGCTAACCTGTACTGGACCGACCAGCAGGATGGCTAGACTAAAGGGGCATTCAGGTGGACTCTGCTCTGATGGGGAGAGAGCCAAAAGCCCGCACCCCTGTAGAGGCCCATTAGCAGAGCAGCCTCAGGTCTGCCCTGCACTCAGGGTTGGGTGGGAAGGGTGGCCAAGGAAGGGCTTGGTCAAGTGTTGCTGTATCTAATGAGGCTTATAACCTAAGGCTGCCCCGAGGTCGGTGTCCCCCAGGGTCCTCTGTCACACACAGGACAGTGAATCAGGATGTCCTGGTGGCACTTTCCGTCTACACCCACCCCTGCCTGCCAATGCTGATGTGCGTCCCCAGTTCTGATAGGGCCACTGCAGCCCACCCTGTGGAGAGTCACTGCCTGGAGAGAGGTGGTGCCTCAGGTTGGCCGGACTAGAGAACAGCTGAGAAACTCGTGCACAGAGCTGCCACCTGGCCGGGCCACAGGACTCTCACGTGAGACGTCAGAAACCTGTTAGGATCTTGGGAAACTGGACACAAGGTCACTTAGAATTCAAAGAAGCCAGAAAGCAGGCTTATAAGAAGTTTCTGGAGTGGTTGGGGAGGCTCTCTGGGGGCTGGAGAGCTCGAACTGGGCCCTGAAAGATGTCCTAGGCTCAGAAGGAGGGTAAGGGAAACCCATTCAAACCGCGGGAGCCATCAGCAGGCCCAGGGGAGGGAAGGCCTGGTGAAGACCCAAGGATCGGGCTGGAGCAGACAAGGAGGGGAGAGTATGCTGGAGCCAGTTCTTTATTCGCACATCCACCCACCCTCTTACCCCTCTGTCCCCACTCCTTCCCTCCCTTCAGCGATCTATTCATAACCCTTTATTTATTGGGCAGGGGATTCAGCTGCGGTCCCTGTGTGCAGAATAGCTGGTTTAACCGGGGACACAGACAAATGAACACATAGGGATGGCACAGGATGGGGTGTCTTTCAATTGGAGAGGATCAAGTTGCTATGGGAGCCATGGGGGTGCTTAAGTTAGGCTCAGGCCCCCCAGGGAAGATGTAATGGAGACCTAAAGCCGAGTAGGAGGTAGCCAGATGAAGTGGGCAGAGAGCATCCAGACAGAAGGACCCAGAGCTGCAGGCCTCACAGGCAAAGACAGCATGGTGTCTCCTGTGACCTGCCAGGGCAGGCACTGAGCATGTTCACGGTGGTGGCTTATCTCTCTGGGGGCCTGGAAGGGAAAGTTATCTGGGGAGAGGTGAGACAGGAGAAGTCAAGGGCTAGAAGATGAGGGGTCTTGGAGGCCACGTCAAGGAGTTTGGACTTCATCCTGAGTGGGTGGGGAACCTCTGATGGGTCTTAAACAGAGTGACATTCTTAGGTCGTGCCTCCTGGCTGCAGAGCACAGCATACCTTTGTTGCAGAGAGTAGATGTGCAAAACCAGGTGCAAGACCACTTGGCAGGATGCTGGCGAATCCAGGCAAGAGGGGCGGTGACCCCAGCTGAGGAAAGAAGACAGGTGGATGCACATGCAAGAGATTTAGGGGACAGAATCGCCAAGACTAGGTGATCATTCAGACCTGGTGACAAGGGGAGGAGAGCTGAGGATGGCATGGGACTCTGTGGCCTGTTGTTGAGTGGATGGCGGGGTGGGTTTCTGACATGACATTTGAAAAGAGCGGGTTTTGGTGGGGAAGGTAGGGAATCCACTTTTGGGTAAGTTCAGTGTGAGAGGCCAGTGGGACACAAGGATGAACTGAGCAAAAGAGGTTGGGACCGTGGGTCTAGAGTTTAGCAGAGATGTTTGGGAGCAGAAAGCCTGGGAGACGACTGGGCAGAGGAGGGGACTCAACAAGCAGAGGGTATGGGTGGAGGGCCAGTGTGGGACCAGAGAGATGGTTTCAGGAAGGAGGCCGAGATCAGCTGGCCACATGCTGCTGAGGGAGTGAAGAAAGAGAGGAGCTGGTGAGGGATGGCCTCTGGGTTGAGTTATAAGCAGGTCGTTGTTAACTTTGGGGATAGCAGTTTCCAGGGAGAGGATGCAGGGAGCCAAGCTGAATGCACTGGGCAGAGGGCTGCATGGAAGTGAGAGGCAGTGGATGGGTGCAGTCCTTCTCAGGAAGAGAGAGAGGAGAGGGAGGCTGCTGGAGAGGACCCAGAGCAGGGAGGATCTGATGGACCAGCTTTAAATGGGGAAGGAGAAGATTTAGCAGAGCCCTAACAGGTCAGTGGGTAGAGCGTCAGCCTGTGGACTGAAGGGTCCCAGGTTCGATTCTGGTCAAGGGCATGTACCTTGGTTGCGGGCACATCCCCAGTAGTGGGTGTGCAGGAGGCAGCTGATCAATGTTTCTCTCTCATTGATGTTTCTAACTCTCTATCCCTCTCCCTTCCTCTCTGTAAAAACATCAATAAAATATATTTAAAAAAATGATCTAGCAGATAGTGGGGAAAACTGAGGGGGACTGGATGAGACTGGGTTAAGGAGCCAGAGAGTGTTTAGGCGTAGAAGCTCCGTGATAGCCTCACCAGTATGCACAGTGAGGAGGGGGCACAGAGGGCCAATGTGGCAGCTTGCAGGCCTGGTGGAAGGGGGGCCTACAGCGTCAGGGGGCCTGGGGAGTGGCAACAAATGACAGGGAGCAAGGATGTTCTGGGACCCCGGGGGACAGCGAGGTGGATGGAGATGAGCTGGCCTTGGGATGAGGATGGTGGCCTCGTGCGGAGGAAGCTGCTCCACAGACACACTCTAACCACTGTCTCTGCTTGTCTCTCCCTGCTGCCTCTGCGGGCCTGGCGCTCCACAGCTGTGTGCACCTGCCTTCTTCCTCCAGGGCCTCCTCCAAACGGTACTGGAGTCTACCCTTCTCGAGGTTCTGGTTCCCTGGCCTCCTCCGTAAATAGGTTCCTGGAAATGGGGACCCTGGTCCTCAGCATATAGAGAGGAATGCCATCAACTGGAGCGCAAGGGAGCCTGAAGGAAAGATGCAACATGGAAGCGAGGGACAGGAAGGGATCAAAGGGACACTGCCCAGAGTTGGGGGCCTAGAGAAGAATGTCTGGGAGGAAATATGTGAATGAGCTTTCCTGGGTGATTTCGGGAGAATGTTGCACCCATGTGAGAAAGGCTTATCTTTCTGTCTCCCCACCCAGGGCAGCTTGGGCGTGGTTCCCTCCCTGATACCTTCTTTTTGCCCCTTTGCATCTTGGGCTTTTGGCCCTGGGCCCACATTGGACTGGGCATCACCCTCAAGCAGGCCACAAACAGGCTAGGAGCAGGCCTTCAGGCCTCACCCTTCCCTTAATGAGGCAACCCTTGATGTGCCGCCGCTGCAGCTGGTGGCTTGGAGTGCCAACGGTGGGCACTCAGCCAGGTGTCCCCATAGCAGCCAGGCCATTGTGGTGGCCGTCCAGGCCCTGCCTGCACTCTCCAGGGGCACCATTCAAGCAGACTGTGAAAATGGTGAATGTCTTCACGTTGTGCCCTGGTGACATAGGGACAGTTAAGAAGCCAGTGTTCTGAGGAATGCTTTCAGTGGCTCACATCTCTTCAAGCCACCCTGGGAGATCAAGGTGAATGGTAAAAACCAAGGTTGGGTGGCACCAAACAGCAATACAGGAACCAGAGTCACCACTATCTATGAAGCACTTCCTATGTGCCAGACACTCTCTATATTTGTTCTCCACCTGCATTCTCACAGCAACTTCGAAGGGTATTGTAATCCCAGATCTTCCCATGAGGGTGTGAGTCACAAAGGTTGGGTAATGTGCCCGAGGTCAGACAGCTAGAAAGCGGCACGACGGGCATGAGAACCAAGGTCTGGTCTGATTCTAGAAATGAGCTCCTTGCCACTGCAGGCCAGGGAGCATAGCAGCGTGGCTGTGCCATTGAGCAGGAGTGACAGCGGGGGCTGGCTGCGAAGTGCTGAGGCTGGAGCGAGCTGGTGTGTTTCTCCTGCTGCTCCAAGGATCCGTGTCAGAGCATCTGTAGGTGGATGCACTGTCCTCTGAGACAGAACCCAGAGCAAGTCGCTTAGAGAATGAATCCAATCATTCCACTGTTTATTAAATGAGATCAGATGAGGCAAGCTCTCTAAAGTGCCCAGCAGAGCCCTTTTAATTATAGTGAACATTTCCCGAGGGTCAGGAACTCCATGTGTGGACGTGCAGGTTGTGCACTGCGCAAGGGCACTGTGTCCAAGGAGGTGCAATTTCCAGGGCAGACACCATAGATTTGTATTTATTATAACAAGTTTCCAGTAGGTGGCAGTAGAGTGTCTTGTTCTAATAAATGAGTGAGGTATGATGATTTTCTGACCTGGATGTAAAGGGCTTTAAGAAAGAGACATCTTTCTCTAATTGTCACAAGGGTGCCACGTGGGCTAGCAGTCCGACTATTGAGAGTTTACATGAATCAGACACTATTCTAAATGTTGTTTTAACTTCTTCAAGCTTCACACTAACCTTTAGAGGTTGATAACTTTTAATACCATGTCATAGATGTAAAAAAATGAGCCATAGAGAGGTGAAAGAACTTACTTAACTCAGTGAGTGGTGGAGCCGGGATTCATACCCAGAGCCTGTGTTCCAACCACTGTGAGACGGGGTAGTTGCTTAATCCATGGTGGTACCAGCTTCCCTTGCCCCGTCTGCTTCCCCATATAATTCTTCGTGATCATTGGGATTCCTGCCCACATCTTTTTGGCAAACCCTTAGAAGGTCAAAGTTGACATATGCTGTGCTCAACTCTGGTCTGTGGTGGTGAAGGAGCCTCCCCAGCAGTGCCCTTTGGTGCCTGTAGATGACGGGCATTTATATACCTTTCTCCCGCTGGGAAATACTCTGACTGCCAGTGTAAGTGCTCTGTCCTCACAGCAGACGGGTAGGGGCTGACAGGTGTCTGGGTGTGGGTATGGGGGTAGGGATGGAACTCCAGGGTGGGTGTTAAGTTGGGAGGGTGTGAGACAGGAGGCAGGAGAACCAGGCCAGTGGGGGGCCAAAGTGGACGTGTCAGGATGAAGAGGGCAGTCATGTGTGTGCACACGTGCGTGTGTGTGTGTAGGAGATGGGGTGACCCTGAGCAGCTCATTGGTGCATCAGAGCCTGCATTATGGGAGGAGGGGTGACCCTGGGCCATGGTGCTTAAATTGTGATCCTGGAGAAGATTGTGCCTGGAAAAACTGACTTTGCTCTCTCATTTCTGCCTGCCCTTTGCCCACTTGTGTGTCCTTGCTTCTCTGTTTCTGTCTTTCTCGTGCACGTCCTTCTTTCCATCCCGCCTGTCCACCTTTCTTGTCTCTCTGCCTTGGTGTTTCTCCCACCCATGTGTCTGTTCCACCTGATATTCCCTGTAGTCGGAGGACACAGACCTGCCCTATCCGCCACCCCAGAGGGAGGCCAACATCTACATGGTTCCCCAGAACATCAAGCCAGTTCTCCAGCGGACCGCCATCGAGGTGAGCCTGGCTCCCGTGTGGGGCTGGAGGGCAGCCTGGACCTTCCCCTTCCTGGCCCAGCCTTCCCATAGCCTTTCTAGCTGCTCTCCTCACTCTGTGTCCCCAGATCCTGGCATGGGGCCTGCGGAACATGAAGAGTTACCAGCTGGCCAATGTCTCCTCCCCCAGCCTTGTGGTGGAGTGCGGGGGCCAGACGGTACAGTCCTGTGTCATCCGGAACCTCCGGAAGAACCCCAACTTTGACATCTGCACCCTCTTCATGGAAGTGGTGAGCCTGAACTCCCTGCAGTCCTCTTCCAGTGCCCTGGTGGCTAGAACCTTCTGGCAGACCCCAGCAGTCTGGGAGTCTGCTCCGACTCCTCTGGGAACCTGTGTGGTCACGGTTTCTCTCCCACCTCGCTTGTCTGTGAAAGTGGGAGGAAATGCTCACGCTCTCCTCACCGGAAGAGGTGAAGCCTATGAGCAACACCGATGGGACCAGCTTACTCCCTCCTACCCAGATCCCGAGTCCGCAGAGGTCCTAAGGACCCATCACCATGGCTGTTCTCTCTTTTAGGGCAGGTCTCTATCCTCCGAAGTTCCCCTCGGAGCCCGCCAGGAGCTCTGATCTTCCAAACCTTCCCTGACCGGCCTCCCCACCTGGGCCTCCACAGATGGGCTCACCTTACCGCCCTCCGGCCCCCAGTCCTCTCCAGCTCCCGGGGCTGCCTGGGCCTAGTGGCCGGATCAAGGCCAGCCTGAGGAAGGGAACATGGTTTGCAACATGAAAGCACTATAGAAATTCCAGGCCCAGTGGCTGTCAACAGGAGCCTCCTCTTGGCTGAGCCAAACCCGCCACCGAAGGAGAGCATATAAATTATTTCAAGTTGTGTTCAAAGTGCTTTTGGGGCTGGGGAGGTGGGGTGGGGAGAAGAATCTGGGACTATAAGCCAACTCTTGAGTATCCACTTGGGGGGGACTGTCTGCAAGAAATGTTGAGTCCTGGGCCAACTTCTCCCCTCGTCCCCTCCCAGCCAGTGAGGGTTCAGGGAAAGGAGACTTGCTTTCACTCTGGGCTGAGCTGATGTGTTTGGAAGGTAAGGCTGTGGGGGAAAAGCTGGCCTCCACGTAGACTGTTCAAGAGGCAGGAGGAAAGGTGTGTGTTTTCTACTTCCCTGGCCAGCTCGTGGGCTCAGCCAGCCACCACTTTGGAGTCATGGCCACTGGAGGTTACATGTGGGTTCATAGTCATTCTCTCTCCCTGGGCTTGTCCCCCTCCTCTGAGACCTCCCAGAGATGGGTTTAGGCCACTGCTCAGAACTTCCCTCCTCTTCTGCCCAGATGCTGCCCAGGGAGGAGCTCTACTGTCCCCCCATCGTGATCAAGGTCATTGATAACCGCCAGTTTGGCCGCCGGCCTGTGGTCGGCCAGTGTACCATCCGCTCTCTGGAGAGCTTCCTGTGTGACCCCTACTCAGGGGAGAGTGCATCCCCACAGGGTGGCCCAGGTAGGTGGAGGGGTTGTTGATGGGGAGGGCCTGGCAGAGGGGCCTTGGGCAGGTGGGACTTCCACTGAGAGTTGTCCTGAAGCTCTGCTTTTACTGGGACCTGACTGAGGGGTGGTTTCTGCTCAGCTGACCAGGAGGGTAGGGACCTCATCTCCCTCAGGGCATAGCCTGGATCTGGGCCGGGCGTACCAGGAGCAGGTACACGTGTCTGTGGGGGCTGAGAGGTGAGGGCTGAAGTGGGTGGTGGTTGAGGGAGAGAGAGATGCTGGGATTCAGTGGGATGAGGAGAGAGGGGAGGAATGGGAAGGGAGGAAGAGGGACATTCAGGAGACAGGGAATGTGAAGGAGGATGGGAGGGACAGAGATGGGAGAGGGAAGAATTGGGTGGGAGAAGGAGGAAGATTGAGAAGTGTGGAGAGAGAGACGGGTTTTGTCTCATAGTTCCCTGAGTCTTGTGGCTGAGGAGGGACGCGATCCCGGAGGGAGCCCCCTCTCAGGCCTGGACACTGGTCTCTCCTACAGATGATGTGAGCTTACTCAGTCCTGGGGAAGATGTGCTCATTGACATTGACGATAAGGAGCCCCTCATCCCCATCCAGGTAGGATGGACTGGGTCCTGGGGGAGAGACACTGGTTCCGGCCAAGAGCTGGCCTTGATTGCTCCCCACTCCCTTCCTCATCTCTCCCACTCCTGCTCTCCCTGCCTCACATGGCCTTTACAAGAGGTCTCCCTCTGGACCTGGGTGGAAGGACTAAACAGATGGAGGGGCCTGGAAGGAGGGGTCTTTGTCCAAGTTTCTCCACCTCCTGCATTCCTCCATGGCCAGGAAAAGGAAGGGAGAGGGGCGGGAGGGGGAACTTATTCCAAGGGTGTCCCACCCTGCTGCAGGTAAGTGGTGTCCCTTTGCTATGCACTCGGCAACATAGGGCCAGCTGGTGAGTCAGACACCCATGCCAAACAGCATGGCAGGGTGTGTGTGGCATCTCTCACTGAGGGGGAGCACTCTTCCCACCTGGGGACCTGGGATGGCTCTGAGTCCGGTCGGGCTGAGACCACCCAGTCCTTCCTGCAGTGGAGATGGAGAAAGGCCTCACCGTGAGCAAGCTTAGGCCTCGAACTGGCCATCTGTTCTAGGTTGTCACCTTCTCTCAGCTTTGCATGATGCTGGTCACACCCCTGGCACCTGGGGCTCCCAGAGCGTTGGGGCTGCCTGGGGCAGAGCCTCCCCGTCTACACAGTTAGCAGCTGTGTCCTCATGCCCAGAGCCTGCTTATTCACCCCAGGATGGGATGGTGTAGCACTTCAGAGGGTTTGTTTTCTTTAATATCAGCATTGAGAGCAGGAGAGCAGACTTGGTGTTGGGCTCAGGATCCTCAAAGCTGTCCCTGGAGGTGTGTTGATAGGGGCTTCCCTCTGACATTATGGGCTGATAGCCTCTTCTTTATCACTTGCTCATCATTTCACTTCACAGGGAGTGTCCTTGTGTTCAGCTTCGGGCCTCACTGCTGCCAGAACAACAGGTCTTGCTCTATAGTTTCTCTGATGTTGAGAGTCCTCAGAAGTCCCAAGCTCTCCATTTCTCCCATGTCTGTGGCTCTCCAGGGCTCTGCCCCACCATCCTTTCTGCTAGGGACACCTGATCATTCTTTCAGACTCAACTTAGTTGTAGTCACCTCCTTCCAGAATTCTTCCCTGGCTCCTCCCGCTTCCCTGCAAGTCTTGTCTGTATGTTGGTCATTGCACCTGCCTTAGGTCCTGCTTGTCTCTGTAGATGGCAGCATCCTTCCTAGACTAGGCTCAGGGCAGTGACTGGGCATGTTTTTCTTTGTGTCCTTAATGCTTACTTAGCAGAGGACCTGACTTAGCAGGAGATATCCAGTGAAGTCTGCCTGGATTGGTGGATGCACGGTGGGTGGACAGATGGACAGATGGGTGACCTGCCCACACTCTGTAGGGGGTCTACGCAGGAGCTTCTCTTGACTGGGGAAACCCAAGAGGACATTTCAGCCGGCCCTGCAAGGATTCCGCTGTACTGGGTGCTAGTGCTTTCAGGCCTGGGTGGGTGTTTGTAGCCAAATTAGGCAGATAATTAGCCCCAAACTCCAGGCTGCCTGATCCTGGCTCCCGCTTCCCACCCTCTCAGCAGGCTGTCTGAGTCTGTGCAGGGAAGCGTGGGGCTTGCCCAGCAGGATTTCCGTTCTGTGTGTGCTGCCCTCAAAATGTCTACAGATGCAGGGAGGAGGGACTATTTTGGGTCCTGCTGGCTACAAGCACAGCCAGAGGCAGACGGTGAGGAGGCCTCGTCTGGTCATCCTCTTGGTGTTGACATCAGTGAACTGGGGCAGGGGTCTGAGGCAGAATAGGGTCTGTCCTCTGTGGTAGCACATAGCCACTCTGGCTAGAGCTGCTGGCCAGACAGAGGGTGAGGAGCTGGAATCCGGGCGAGGCTCACAGACAGAAGGAGGATGTAACTGGGGCGGGAGTCTGAGGCAGAATAGAGTCTGTCCTCTGTGGTAGCACATAGCCACTCTGGCTAGAGCTGCTGGCCAGACAGAGGGTGAGGAGCTGGAATCCGGGCGAGGCTCACAGGGTCTCAGGTGGGCAGACAGAAGGAGGATGTGAAGTCCGCCTGCTCTGATGGAGGAGGTTTGGACTCTCCCCTCACTGATCTCCCCGTCTGATGGAGGAGACATGACCCTGCTCTCAAGGAGTCCAGAGGCCAGCATGGAAACCGTTCCTGGTGTCTAGGAAGCCCTGCCCTGATGGGGTCTGATGGGGGCGGGGGGTTAGGGGAAAGTGCTTTTGTATTGCATTTTCCTCTGAGATCCACTGGTTCGATTTGGCTGGTGCAGGAAATCTTTTACTCACTCTGTCTTTCCTGCACATCCTCTGGCACTTGGGAGGACTGGGCATTCCGAGGCTGATCCAGGAGGCAGAGGTTCCAGAAGCAAATGCTTTGCCAGAGAATTCTGGCTGAGCTCTCCTCCCCTCTCTGCTCCCCCAGTGCAGATATAAAGGAGGGCTCTGGCCTCTGAGGACGGGAGGGACAAGAATTTGGATTTCTCCTGGCTCCTGCTTGTTCACCATGTTTCTCGGAAGCCTGTTTCATTCTTTCCGTGATGTGGCCCCTGTTGCTATGCTCACCAGGTCTGGGCTGTGGACCCAGCTCAGGGCACCTTCCCAACTTCAAATATGCTCTTGCCACATCTGGCTTCTGTCTTGGTCCCTCCATCTCCTTCCTTGGTCGCACCTTCTCTGCTGTATAACTTCTCACCATCATCTGCCCCATTCCCGGGATGAGCCTGCCACATGTTGAAAAACATCACCTCAGACTTTCCTGATGTTCGAGTCATTGGACGGACACTCACGGTAGAATGTTCCTCAAGGTTCTAGAAATGTTTTGGTTTCTGTCAAGAGTGGCCAATTCTAGATATGATCTAAAATGTACATATAACGCAGATCTCTCTACTCTGCCTTCCAGGGCTCATAGGTCAGCACCCACCTTTGGGGGTGAGGATGGTCCCTCAGGAGTGGGTGCCTGACCCTGTGAACTCTTCTCCATGGCGTGAGGGCTGGGATGAGATAGGCTCACACAGGTTAACTCCATGGTTGATTCTTGGTCTGTGTGGCTGTCCTTTGTATAGATTTCAGATCCATAGCCTGGGGGTGGATGTAGTGTGTGTGTGTGTGAATGTGTGTGTATCCTCAGAGAGGGGGCAGGGAGGTCTTTTATCCATCTAGTGTTCTGCCTTAAAAAAAGGATCTCACCTATTTTTTTCTGATTACAAATATATGTTCATGATATCAAATTTGGAAAATAAAGACAAATGAACAAATAGGCATTGCCTTCAACCAAGAACGCAATTTGAATGAACTGCCACCAACCCATCATTCTCTAGCCTTGCCTTTCTCCTGGGTTTCTCCTGTCTCCGATTATGTCTCTGACTCTGAATTGGACTCTATCTTTAAAACAAAACTGGGGTCTTTGTTTACTAAGCTGCTTTTTCATTGAGCTAGCTCTGGTGTTCTGATTATGAAGATGGGGAGAGAATCAGTGAGCAGGAACACACGGAATCTGCTCCTCCCTAGAGAGGGCCTTCAAGCTCAAAGTAGAGGTGGTGTCCTCTGTTCACCCCATATGTCACCCCACTTCCAACCACTAGATGCCCCTGGGGACACCTGGTGAAGGGTGACTCTTGGCTATAATCATGAGAGACCACTCTGGATAGGGGAGGGGGTCTCCTTTTTAAGTCTCGTGAGAAGAATTTCTGGGGGTGGGGAATACGTGTGTGCTGAGGAGGGATAAAGAGCAGGAGCACAGATTTGGCTGGTGCAGGAAATCTTTTACTCACTCTGTCAGATGTTTACTCACTCTGGGGATGTTTTCACTCTGGTTGGGAGACAGATGAGAGACATGTTAGCAGATTTAAAATGAGATGCCCAGGGTGGCATCAAAGTGATGAAACGCTTTATTAGCAAGGACACCAAGGTCATGGGCTCTCTTGGCCCTTGGAGGTCAGTGTGGCCAGAGTAATCAGGAAAGCTTCTCCGAGGGCATGGGGTTGGAGCAGCAGAGGGGAGACGAAGGCTTTTCTGGTGGGTAGACTGGCTGGGCAAGGGCTTGGTAGTGGGACTGTGTGTGTGTGTGTGTGTGTGTGTGTGTGTGTGATGGGCTTGGGGGTTAGGGAGGAAACCCCGGCTAGTATGCAGGAAGCTTCCCAAGGCATGCTGACCTGTGCCCCCACCGTGGGGTGCGGTGGGTGGGGTGCTGGGGCTGGCTGCTCCCTGCCTGCCCAGCCGGGGCTAATTTTGAGCTGGCTGCTCCGGTTATAGTCTTTGGGACGCCGTGAAGGTGGAAATGTGCTCCTAGAACCGGAGCGGCAAATTATGCCCGAGTCCCAAAGGAGAACGTGTAATTTCGGAAGCTGGACCAGATCTTTGGAGCACTATGTTTAGCTTTATTTTTTCTCCCTCTTGCTCTGGTGAACTGCCGGTTTCCCTCTCACCTTTCTAAAAACGAATTTTCACTCTGGTTGGGAGACAGATGAGAGACATGTTAGCAGATTTAAAATGAGATGCCCAGGGTGGCATCAAAGTGATGAAACGCTTTATTAGCAAGGACACCAAGGTCATGGGCTCTCTTGGCCCTTGGAGGTCAGTGTGGCCAGAGTAATCAGGAAAGCTTCTCCGAGGGCATGGGGTTGGAGCAGCAGAGGGGAGACGAAGGCTTTTCTGGTGGGTAGACTGGCTGGGCAAGGGCTTGGTAGTGGGACTGTGTGTGTGTGTGTGTGTGTGTGTGTGTGTGTGATGGGCTTGGGGGTTAGGGAGGAAACCCCGGCTAGTATGCAGGAAGCTTCCCAAGGCATGCTGACCTGTGCCCCCACCGTGGGGTGCGGTGGGTGGGGTGCTGGGGCTGGCTGCTCCCTGCCTGCCCAGCCGGGGCTAATTTTGAGCTGGCTGCTCCGGTTATAGTCTTTGGGACGCCGTGAAGGTGGAAATGTGCTCCTAGAACCGGAGCGGCAAATTATGCCCGAGTCCCAAAGGAGAACGTGTAATTTCGGAAGCTGGACCAGATCTTTGGAGCACTATGTTTAGCTT